GGACAAGTGAGAAAGGAGGGAGAAACGAGGGGGAACAAGTGAGGAGAGGGGTAGGTGGACAAAGAAACGAGGAGAGAAAAAGGAGGAGGAGGAAGGTGAAACGTGGAGAAGGAGGGACGATCGACGACAAAGGAGAAAGGAGGAGGAGGAGGGAGAAACGAGGAGAGGGGAGGGAGGAGCGAGGAGCAGAGAGGGGGGAGGGAGAAAGGAGGAGGGGTAGGTGAACAAGTGAGAAAGGAGGGAGAAACGAGGAGAGGGGAGGGAGGAGCGAGGAGGAGAGAGAAAGGAGAACGTGGCATCTGCCACTTCACCTTGCTGTACACTCTGCTCACGGAGGTCAGAAACTTTATTGAAAGTTGAAACCCTTCAATAATTATCTGCAGACGTGGCATCTGCCACGTCACCTTGCTGTACACTCTGCTAACAGAGGTGAGAGAGAGAGAGAAAGACAAACAGAGAGAGAGAGAGAGAGAGAGAGAGAGAGAGAGAGAGAGAGAGAGAGAGAGAGAGAGAGAGAGAGAGAGAGTGTTTGTACCTGATAGGTTAGTTGTTAGTATGTATGCAGAACAGTGTGGTGTGTGTGTGTGTGGTCGTGTGATTCTGTTTCAGGTCGGATCCTCGTGGAGTGAGTGAGATGGGTTGGACTCGGATGCGTGTGTGTACAGCAAGGTGACGTGGCAGATGCCACGTGTGCAGACAATCATAGAAGGGTTTCAAATTTGAATAAAGTTTCTGAGTTTTGTGTTTGAGTTAAGCTTACCTCGTGTGATGATGATGATGAAGTTGCTGTATGCAGGCTGGAAGAGTAAAGTGTGTCGAGTCTGATTTCAGTTTCGTTTTCTGTTTCTTAACTTTCTTTGACTGTTTCTTCTTTTCTTGCAATTTCTACGATGTTCTCAAACTGCTAGGCCACATCATGGAATGTACGTTTTCTAACGCATGATGGTTGTTGTTGCGCAGATGCAACGTCGTCGTCCTTCGTCGCTGCCCGCATCTCCACGACCGTGCCTTCTTCTTTTTTTTGTTCCTGTGCTTCTTTTCGTCTTCTTCTTCTTCTTCTTCTTCTTCTTCTTCTTCTTCTTCTTCTTCTTTTTCTTCTTCTTCTTCTTTTTCTTCTTCTTCTTCTTCTTTTTCTTCTTCTTCTTCTTCTTCTTCTTCTTATTTAACTTCTTTTTTTTTTTCTTCTTCTTGTTCTTGTTCTTGTTCTTTTTCTTTTTCTTCCTCTTCATCCTTTACTTCTTCTTCTTCTGCTTCTTCCTGTTCGTCGAGGTGCTAGCCATGGCGTCAATAAGCGGGACGAGCAGTGTAGTGGGGAAGGGAAAGGAAAAGGTGAAGGCGAACGACGCTGCACCGCCATTCGAAGCACAACTGGAACAACGACAGAAGGAGTTGGAGCGGGACAATGTCGTATACCGGTGGATAGAAAGGGGACGTGAGGCAGAACCGAAGGGGTACGACCAGTATTGGGTACGGTGCAAGTTGTGCATGAAAACGTTCACAACATCGAAGACCCGGGCAGTGGAGCACTTTGTTAGAAAGGGCAAAGCTGCAAAAACATGCCAATACAAAAGTGGGGAGATGTTGCATCTGTTGGCGCTGCGAGGGGCCACCATCGAGGGAGATACAGCCAAAAGAATGCTTCACGAGTATAGGGTTGAAAAGGGCATTGCGGAAGACACAGGGATGGAGAGAACGGGGAATGTCGACAAGAGCACGGAGGACAACATCGAGCAGCACTTGCAGCCATCTCCGACACCTGGCCGGGAGGTGCGAACAATGGAGGAAGAGAACGTGTGTGGGCTGCAGGAGGCAGAAGTCGGCACTCCTGTGCCGCCCTCTTGTGTGGGGTCTTCATCTGCGGCGAAGTCCGTGAAGACCACACAGACGTCGATCCGCCGGTGGACAGAGAACACCGCACAGAAGAAGTTGGACATGCAATGGGGAATGGCGCTTTTTCGATCTCGCGTGCCCTTCAATCTCGTTTGCGTCGACGAGACGAAGGCCCTCCATAACTTATACATGGAGTTAGGCAAAACGAAGGCGAAGGTCGACATGCCCACCTTCGGCACATTGCGAACCGTGATTTTGGATGCCGTGTACGAGGATGTCAAAACGGCGGTGCAACCCCTGAGTGACTAGTGGGACATCTCGGGATGCACTCTAATCACGGATGGCACAACTGATCGCAAGTGGCGGCCAGTTTTGAACTTCATTGGCGCAGGGGCCGGTGGAGCCGTGTTGCTAAAGGTGGTCGACATGTCCCATAGGAAGTCCAACGCTGCTACGATTGCAAAGCTATGGGAGGAGGTAATTAGGGAGATCGGGGTGCACAGGGTGAACGCAATTTGCACGGACAACGCTGGCGTCAACAAACGAGCGGCGAGGATCTTATCATGGAGGAGGGATCCAGATATTGCGAAGATCCCTTGGGTGTCGTGCGCCGCCCACACACTCAGTCTGTTGCTCAAGGACATGGCAAAACTGCCATGGATAAGCAAGATAGTGAAGAGGGCGAAGATGATGGTAAAGTTCATCAAGAACCACCATCGCACAGTGCCTTTGTTCTCTGCGTGCTCTTTGGAGGAGAAGTAGAGACTGGTCATGCCCACGGAGGTGAGGTTTGCGTCAACATTTGAAATGTTGAACATACTGCATGATAGGCGGGGTGTGTTGGAGGAGATGATGGACAAGGGATGGAAGAACATTCATTGGAGCTCGAGGGAACTTCGGGAAAAAGCGGACAAGATCTACCACAGTGTCCGATCGAGTCGATGGTGGGAGGAGGTATATCGGATTGTCCTTCTTATGCGGCCGGTCAACGAGCTCGGATAGACCACGATGGTGTGGCACCTTCATCTCTGTGGGGGTTTGACGAAATTCTCCGAGGTCGCTTGCGGAGCATCGGTGGCATCACACAGGAGCAACAACAAGAGATTATGAAGATTGTTAATGACCGCTGCAAGATGATGAGGCAGCCGGTGCACGCAGCGAATTTCTTGATGTCCCCGACAAGAAGGGACCCGCGTTGGGTGTTGGACAAGAACACTCCCCTTGTTCACAACGCCATTCAACATCTGATGTCGCAGCTCGGGGGAGACAAATAGGGTTCAAAAGAAAGTCATGTGAATGTTTGGCAAAGCCTCTGGGCCTTCCATCAAAAGCCATCGAAGGAGCTTTGTGAAAAGGAGCCCATGTGGGACAGATTTGGGGTGGCCGACTCCTCGTTGACGCAGAAGACAGCATCGCAGTGGTGGTCGTCGTATGGGGGGAAACACCCAAAGCTGCAGAAGATAGCCACAAGGGTGACGACCATGTGGAGCACAGCCACACCTTGCAAGAGGAACAGGTCGTCGTTGGACCTTATTCACACTAAGAGGAGGAAGAACCTGTCGAGCGCAAGTTTGGCGAAGTTGGTTTATATCCACTGGAACATGCAGCTCCAGTGCATCCCCAAAAGCTTGAAGGATGGGTTTGTGGATGTTTGGGCATCATTCTTTGATGAGGCAGAGGCTCCATCACCGAATGATGATCCGATTCTCCCCGGCCCTTTGGTGCAGGACGAGGAGGAGTTGAGGAGGCAATCCAACTTGAGGAAGACTCCGAAGGGGAGGATTCCAGTTGGAGGGGGCTTGGAGGACTCGGACACGGAGTCAAGCAACGAAGAGATCATATGGAGCGACAAACCACGCGAAACGAGAGCTTTGCTGCAAAGATCAGCAAAAGGGGAGGATGTTGTCGACCTTGATTATGCTGAGTCGGAGGAGGACGACGAGGACGTGGACGGAGACGGAGATCATGAAGAGGAGGACGCGGTATATGACCCTAACTTCGTTGACCTTCCACCAACACATCACAGCGACGAAGAAAACAATGCGGCATTTGAAGACGGGAGCGATTTGGAGTGCTGGTCCGTAGAGCAGCAGTCATGTGCGCTAGCATCAACCTCCCGTGACAATGTTGACAGGGCTGCAGCAAAAGCCATGGCAAACGGACGAGACCGGCTTCTTGTGCAACAACGCGTTCGGGAGGAAGAAGCGCGTCGTGAGGCTGCCCCCTTTCGTTCGACAGCACGTCTTCCCCGACAACCACCGCCTGTACAAGACATGCTTGTTGACGAGCAGCAGTAGCAGGAGCCGTCGCAGCAGCAGGACATGACAGCGCAGCAGCAGCAGGAGCCGAAGTTCACTGAGCAGCAGCAGCAGCCCGTGCAGGTGGAGCAGCAGCAACCCGCGCTGGTGGAGCAGCAGCAACCCGTGCAGGTGGAGCAGCAGCACAAGCAAGTTGTCGAGTGTGAACATTCGATGCAGGTGGACGCGCGGGATAGAGGGGTGGAGGTCCACCAACAACCAGCCCAGCAGCAACAACAATCTGTCGTGCAGCAAGAGCAGCAACCTGTCCGACAGCAACAACACCAACCTGTGCAGCAGCAGCAGCAACACGTGCACCAGCAGCAACCCGTGCAGCAAGAGCAGCAACCTGTCCAGCATCAACAACAGCAACCTGTGCAGCAGCAGCAGCAGCCTGTCCAGCAGCGCTAGCAGCAACCTGTCCAGCAGCAGCAGCAGCAGAATGTCGAGCAGCAGCAGCAGCAACAACCTTTGCAGCAGCAGCAGCAGCAGCATGTCCAGCAGCAGCAGCAGCAACAACCTGTCCAGCAGCAGAAGCAGCAGCCTGTACATAGGCAGCAGCAGCAGCATGCCCAGCAGCAATGGCAGCAGCATGTCGAGCAGCAGCAGCAGCAGCAACACCAGCAACAACCAGTCCAGCAGCACCACCAGCACCAGCAGCAAGAGCGGGAAGAACATGTCCAGCAGCAGACAGTGCATCCCCAGCAGCAGCGAGTGCTTGGCGCATAGCAACGGCACGTACACGACACGGCCCAGATTTTGCTCGGGAAGGGGGGGGCACAGCAGCAAGAGCACCCGGAGCGACAAGCAATGCAGCAGCACGTCGAGGTGCAGCAGGCGGTGCCGCAGAAGCGTGTGTGCCCTCCACCGCCATTGCCAGAGCTGGATATGAATCTTGTCCACGACAACATTGATGTAAGCAGGGCGGGCAGGAAGAGGAAGACAATTATAGAACCCCCCCTAGCTCCATTGCTGAAACGTGGTAGAGGCAGACCCAAAAAGGGAGAAGGAAAATTTGCACCCCTGCCACCTCGCCGTCCCACGGGAAGGCCGAAGCGCGCACAAACGGGAAAGGCGACAACCGCGCGGCGTTGGCAGGTCCTTGAGGATGATCCCACTGGACCAGAGGACGGTAGTGACGAAGAGGGGGGTCGGGATGACGACCCGGACTGGGAGTAGGCGAGAGAGAGAGAGAGAGAGAGAGAGAGAGAGAGAGAGAGAGAGAGAGAGAGAGAGAGAGAGAGAGAGAGAAGGAGAGAGAGGGAGAGACAAACACCTTGTCATCACCATCACGCGTCTTTTCTTTTTCTTCTTTTTGTGCTTCGCCTTCTTCTTCTTCCTGCAAACATGGCAAAGTTGGACATGGCAGATCATGGCAGTCTGTAGAGATGGAATCTTTCCGTGAGGCACCCGCATCCTTCTTGTGCATGTTATCTATCTTCTTCTTCTTCTTCTTCTTCTTCTTCTTCTTCTTCTTCTTCTTCTTCTTCTTATCTTCTACTTCTTCTTCTTCATCTTCTTTGTCTTCTTCTTCTTCTTCTTCTTCTTCTTCTTCTTCTTCTTCATCTTCTGTTGTTCTGCTGCTCCAGGTGACGCTTCTTCTGTTCCAGGTGATGCTTTTGCTATCAGAACCGGCTTCTTGCACAGGTAACATCAGCCAGTTTGTTGGTACGAGCGACATCGAACGCGGCAGAAGAAGCACCCTCAACGCTCATATCAGAACCGGGTTCTTGCACTGCTAACAACAGCCAGTTTGCTGGTTTGAGCAAGTGCTTGTGCATACGGTTTCGTACAACTTCGACAATGAACCTTTTCTGCAGACCCTTATATGCAAGCACACAAACACAGTCAGACTCCGGAACCCCCCCCCACCCCCCCGTTGCCCCCGCAGCGCAGCATGACAGCAGAACCCCTCACCCCCATTGAAAGGCCATCACTTGTCTGAGCACCCTCGTTCAATGCCAATGAATCAGACAGATTGCTCATTCGCTCAAACACTAGGTCATGTCCCATGGCAGCATTAAACAGGCCAAGGCCATGCAGCAACATGAAAGGAATTCACCTGTACGAGCACCCTCAACGAGTGTCAAGTAATCGGTGGGCGCTATGAGGCTCAACAACCTCAAACAGTGCCTAATAATCGATGCTACACTGTCGAAAGAACCGGTGGGCGTTGTGAGCACCCTCGAACAGTGCCTAACAATCGATGCTACACCCTGGAACAGTGCCTAACAATGGGTGCTACACCCTCAAACAGTGCCTAACAATCGGTTGATCACAAAGGAGAAGCTACAGGCCGGGGGGTTGGTACCAACTGATCAATGAAATTCGTGACAAACTGCAACAGGCCGAAAAATGTGTACAAATCTACATTCGGGTAGTACAAGCCAAGCGCAAAACCATTACAAAAAAAAAATAATAATAAAAAAATAAAAATAAAAATAAAAATTGGTCGCTCGGGTGACCCGGGCGGACCCGGCCGGGCGACTTCCGTAGCCTAGGGATGTAGGGATTTTCAAACCCTACAACCCCATACATAATTTTTTATTTTTTCCACTTATTATCCAAGGAATTTAAAATGTTGGGGGTTTGCGGCCGCACTCGGCCCCTGGGGTTGGCCCCCACGGCCATGATCCTGACTGCATGCAGTCGGCGGTCATGACCACGGGTGATACATAGTTCAGAACTGTGCACTGGTCACCCGCGTAGTTATTCAAAATTTTATTCTCATCCGAAACCGACATCCTTTCATTCTTTCACCCGATCTCAGACGCTACCGGCCCACCTACAAGTGCGGGCCTTGCCTGACTGGCCTTACTTGCCCTACCAGCCATCCGTCCAGGGTATACAAATAAATTGAAAGTGTTTCTTACGACCATCCTGAGGCCTGAGGGTGCAAAAATGAAGTGAAAGTGTTCTTAGGGTGGACTAAACGGTTTGTCTTGTTTGGGGGGCTGCAATCAAATGCAAAAGGTTTTGCGAAGGGGGAATTGCAATCTTGACTGAGAGGTGCTGGAGAGTCCGAAATAATATGTATGTGTGTGTGTGTGTGTGTGTGTGTGTGTGAGAGAGAGAGAGAGAGAGAGAGAGAGAGAGAGAGAGAGAGAGAGAGAGAGAGAGAGAGAGA